CACACACACACACACACACACACACACACACACACACACACACACACGCACACACATATATATATATATATATGTATATTTATCCGATTTTATAAAATCTTCGTTTATAGAAGCTAGCGTTTCGCACGAATTCCAGATGCTACAGATTTATCACTTCTTGAACCGAAGAGCTCTAACTTTAGAAGCTTTCGATTTTACAAAATCGAATACATGGATATTCAATCATCCATTGCCAAATTTTACAATCCTGTACTGTACGCGTCCTAACTAGTATAATTTCTGTAATTCTTCTCTCGATGCCACTATACTTCGGAATCTTGTCGATCTTTGCAATCTCGATTACGAGTAAACATCAAGATTTTGCTCGACTCGCGCGAGCACGACGAAACCCTATCAGTCTCGTGCTCTCTCAGCGTATGATAGTGAGTCGTGTGCGTGAAACAGTCGGCCGCCTTTTACAACGTCGAGTCGAGTATACAAAAGAACGATAAAACTTCGGTGCGGCGACGGTTACAACAGTCGTGATTAATTTGTGAGTGACGAGTAGGCGGAGCGCGATTATTATTACTAAGATAGTTACTTCTTTTTTTTCTCTTAACGGGATCGTTAAATGTCTCGCTCGTGCACAGCTATACGGAAAAAGGATACGTCTCGAGAAGTGCATTAAAGATCATTTCATCGTCGACTCTTCACGAAAAGACAATCGCGCTTTAATCCTTAAGCAGCCGCATTGATGTTAATACTGAAGCAATCTGTGAAAACTCATAAGTTCTCACACGGACAAAAGACTCGTCTTAAAATCTTTGATCAGAATATTGCACTATTTTCGTCGACCATTATTTGATAGACTAAAAACTGGCATTTCCTAATTGCGATGTTAAATAACTATTTTTTAAAATAAAATAAAATAATTATCCAATAACGTAATTCTTCTGTTTCGATACTTGCTCCTGCTCAAGAATTAAAAGTGACAAATGCATACAATTGAACATGTATATTATCGGACATAACGCTATCATACAGATGCCTAAATTCAACCCTTACCTCTGGATTCGTGAGTTTCCTGCCGTAGATAGACTTTGGGGCCACCGTGGCCCTTCGTATAAGATTACTTTAAAATAATTTAAAAAAAAGAGAATTATGTATTTACATAGTGAAACATAGTACACAGTCTGCAAAATAATACAATATTTTTAAATAAAAAAATTTTCCGAGATTAATAAAGTAGTAACCATTGTTATCATTAGTAATAATTTTGACGAGAACCGAACGCCAAGAAATGCAGGTCCCGATGTGATCCTCCGCGCATTGAATTTCCTCCCGCGATAAATAATAATACAGCCGTATTCCCGCGGTAAAACATTTCATAATTAATTAATAATCAACAGCCATTAATATCAACTTATATAATTTCAAAATAATGCAGGTAAGGCTGTAGGGCCGCCGCGAGCCTTCGTAAAAAATCGCACGCGAAAATAATGATTTAAATGTATATATAAATTTAAATAATACATTCGCTATTAATAATACGCTATTAAAATCTGTTAAATACCTTTTTAACAGATAATTGCTAATTATTATATAACAAAGTATTATATTAAATAAATCCGGATAAGGGTGAAATATGTCTCTTAGGGTCTAATAAGCTCAAAAATGAGCTCGACTCTATCCCTATTACGCTTAGATTGATTGATCACAAAACCGGGGCTATTTGTTCGTATTATATCGTTCCTTTGTTCCTTCCTGATCGATCGGCCGATCGATCGAACAGGAATACTTAAGAGGGAAATGTGTTGGAGGTGTGTACGCAACAGTTGACAATAGTCACAATTTCGTTGAGAATACTAGCACGCAATAATCCGATTCCGCAGATACTTCCACTTTTATAGATTGTGATCGCGGGTCTTTAGATTGACAAACGATTTCTCAAATCCGCGATTGAGAAATTCTGTTTTCATCTATCTTATGAATCTTAAAAGATCTTCATAATATATCTTAAAAAAAGCTTCATAATATATTTTGCGTGTGAATATTCACGATTCTTAGCTGTTTCAAGTTCCTGCATCTTTAAAATTAAAAACCTTGTGATGTTACGTTGTTCGAGTATTAGGCCTGCGATCCGCTATTGACGTTTCGATATCCCGTGCCAATTCGTCCAACACATGACCCTCAAATCTTCGACGACGCCAAATGCGTTACGCGTCTTCGTTAATAATCTCCTTCGAGCGGTTCCATGTCGCGTAGTTCCCCTTTAACAACCTAGGAGAAGCGGCTAAGTGTTGTACAGATGACACTCTATGTACGAGGTCGGCACGAAGCCCTCGATCGGTTGAGAAATGCGTCGCACTCTAGTCCAACCATCTCCTTGATCCAGCTCGATCATATACAGCTCTTCGCCGTCGTACATCGGTATGGAACCTTCGCTAGTCGCTGCAAATAAAATAGTAACAATGATAACAAGATTAAAGATTAGGATAATAAGAATAAAGTAATTGTTCATAGTTTTTTTTTTCTCTGTTGCACTTTAATCTAATTCGTGTTTCCGTCCCTATAACTGAAAACATAGAAAAGTAGATCGTATGGATGCCCATAGATTTGGACGGACTCTCACCATCGAAAGGATAAAGCGCCCGACATGTTCCCAATGGCGGTTGAGCGTCCACTTCGTCATGATAATACTCCTCGCAACCGCTGCCGGGTAGCGACGTTCTCGACTCGCCGAGGCCAGATTCCGGGCTGTTCGTGGAACTGTGCATCAGTACCATAAAGCGAAAACCGTGGCTATTTGTCTAGTGTGAAGTGTCTAATCTACTCAATAACCGAACGCTTTCGCGGAAAGGTATATACAACAACTAGATCGTAATCTAATCTGGACCTACAAGCAATTGTGAAGCAAAACTCCATTCGTCACACTAATTTGTCGAAACGGGGAAAACAGCGGTGACTCATGTAGTAACACTTTTCGTGTTATCTATGTTACTTATGTTCATTAGCTCCGATAAGATAAGAACGATTGCATAAAAGCCAAAGACATTGAAATGTTTCTGAACATGAATTTATGGAGAATTATGAAACGAATAAATTATGACACGGAGAATCTATGAAGTATATAATTCAAAAGTTCTGGTAGAATATAAAAATAGAATATTAATATAATATCAAATAATGATAAAACATTAATAACGATAAAACGGTACGAATAATAACACGAAAGAACAAGTTTATGAACTAAATATGTACGGATTCTAAAGGTCCCGAGATTTTCAAAGTGTATAATGTGACCTGTGCGTTATTCTGTATATTACCGTGATAACTTACCCATGAGTCGGCTGCGGTGTGCTCGGCGCGCTCTTCTTGTGAACCGGTTGATTTGCGTTCGCGTTACATACGCTCGAGTCCGAAGCGGATCTCGAAAGGCTCTCCTCGCCGCCCGAGTGACTACCTCTTCGTGAACTCAACGGCCTGGTTGCCGAGCCGTTAGTAGTAGGTTTTCGCTGTGCTTGACTTGGGCTGAAACAACGCAAAGTTACTTCTTTACCTCTCTTGATTTTATTATTAAATGGCACAACAATACTGGCCCGTTCAATTAACTGTGCTTCATTTACCTAGATAAATTGGCACCAGCGCGCATTGCTTCTTCGAGGTAGCCTTGAAACTTTGCCAGTTCAACTCCGAGCTTGTCCAGTTTGTTACTGGACTGGTTTAATTGCCCCTCTATACTCATGGGATCTCCAAGGGCGGGGTTCTGCTCGTACACGCCTTTCATCTTCATCAGACCGTCCCTCGCCGCGGTCTCTTGCTGAATCTTCGCCTGGATCTCGTCCAGTCGTTGCTGCAATCGCTTCTTCCGCTGATTTGGTGGCAGATCGCTGCAGTCCTCCTTGGCACCATCACCGTAGCCAGGCACATTATTCTGGAATTTCATACAATAAGTGTCGAATCCTATAGAAATTATTTGTGTGTATTCCTGAGACCCAAAAATTTTCTTTGCACTAAAAATCTTCATTATTAAAATAATTATTAAATTATATCAAAATAATTAATATAATAATTGATGCGTATATTAATGATAAATTATGTGGGCAAGAATACTTCAATAAAACTTTATATGATTGTGAAACGCGAGTTTTTTCTCTCTCTCTTTCTTCTTTTCTTTCAACATATCGCACATTCTAGGTCTCAGGAAAATAACAGAAAGATGAGAAAGCTTGGGAACACATTTTGTTGTAGCAGCAACTCGTTTCGTTAATGATCTGCGAATTGTTAGTGGAAACTAGCGTATACAAATTGATACTGATGGACAATTTCAATATTCAATATCGCTCATTGTTCTAAGCGATAATAGATAACATGGATAAAATGTATTCTCTGCAGTATATAAATAATGGACAAAAATCAGAACAAATTATTTCAGAAATGGGAATAATATTTAACCCCTTTGGTGCTAAAAGGTTTAAAATTTGATGCTAGAAAAATTAAAATTTAATTTCTTTAATTTCAAAATTCAGGTTTTTTGGAAAATTCGCAGATTTTTAGATTGATGCTACTAAATATTGAAACTCTACAATTCCTGCATTTTGCAGGCTCTTGAAAGCCTTTGATTTCGCAGAAATTAGATTTGTTTAATTAATTTAAACATCTCACGGATGTAGGGATTCTTTCAACTTGATTTTCTACGAAACAATCGAATCAAAATACTTAATTCTGCTCTCGAAGAAGCGATTGCCTGTCTCATCTATTTATTACTGCATGTAAAGAAGACGAGCAAGTCGAGCACTTGTAAGCATTCGGCTAAGCACCAGAAGGGTCAATCGAAAACTGACTTGGCAATTGTATAAAGGACAGACCTTTAAAGCTATGCACACCTCGATCAACTTCTGTCGTTTGCATGAAACAAATCCAAAAAGCGTATCATTCAGCGAATGAACAGGATGGACTTTTGGCAATAGCATAAGCGAGACCTCAGATCCTTTCGGAAACATTAATCTCAAATAGTATAAGATATTTTATTTATGTCACATATATAACGAAAAACTGATCTACTTTTTATAATGGTAATCAAAATTTCACGTTAATTTAAGTCTAAGCTACTACAAATCTACAAAGCTACAGATATTTAAAAATACATTAATTTTAAAACGTAATTCTTCAATTTCACAAATTCTATTTTATAAATCTTTCAGAGAGTTGTAGATCTTTAGATTCGCAGATCCTCAGTTCTCAACATTATAAATTATTTTCATATTAAATTCTAGCTCAATTCAATTTCTTTGTTATATTTTACATATCGAATTTTATTTAATTTAGTTACAATATAAAATTTTAATTACATTTTTCACATTACATTCTGTAAGTGTTATAGTCCATCAGTCTTATACTGATTAAGATTAATGCATCCGCTGGGGTTCACGCTCTTCTAACAAGACATTTTAATGTCGCATGTATTTTATCTTTATAAGACAGATAAAGAGTTGTTATTATATACATAATTGCGAGCGAAAAAGCGGTCTACGAAGTACTTACTAAGTGTGATAATATCCCAATTCATAGCCCGTGACGATTGGAAACAAGAAGACCACAGGCAGATTGAACCATCCACCAAATTAATAGAAAGTACAGAAGAAAAATAAGTTATGTTTTTTGTTATACGAGACAAATGAAAGACTGATTGCAAATTGTAGTCCAAAAGTATAAAAATAAAAGAAGATACAGTATTAAGCTCAATTCATAGCAATTTTTATCAGAGTTTATCAGACTTTGTTCTTTCTGTTACATTAATCTACGAGTTAAAATGCATAAAAACATTCAAAACATTAATTTCAAAAATTTACACATACAGAAATTTAAAATAAAGATTAAATATTTATAATGTGAATTGTAACATCGGTATACCTATCATTACATTATTATAATATAAATATATATATTACATATAAATAAACATTATATAATATAAATATTAATATGCTATTTATTAAATCTTGTATACTAGCAGATAGTGAGTGCAAGACATTACTCCGATTTTAATTGCAGTCTTAACTATGATTAAGATTTTGTGTTCTACAATTGATTTTATCAGTATGAGTCCATATTATTACATATGAATAGAGTTTTCTGTGTCGCAAAGCTCTTATAAATTATATAGCAAAATCATTTCAAATAATAATAATTTAAAAATGCAAACCGCTTCAAGTAATCATAAGATAACAGTGCACAAAATAATAATTGAGAAGTCGCTTGTAAATAACTGTAGCCGGTCGGAAGAATACGGAATCTACTAATGTACATGCGCAATAAAAATACATGTGCATATAAGAGCAGGCCTGTCGGCGAATAAGGAGATGCAAAGTATACATACGTAAATGATAAGTTAAAAGAATAAAATAATACTTCAAAGGATTGTCGTGCATGCTGCAGTAAAAAATCATCTCCAATATTCTTAGCAATTATTATCCTTTCCTTCTCACGACCTCGCAGATGCGATAAATAAATAATGCAATAAATTATGTTAGCTCTTCTTTTAAGTCGTTCGAGTCCTCGGCTTACAACATTACGAGTCAAAAACAATCAAAAATTATTTTTGTCAGTATACTAAAAAAAAATCTACCAATTATGTAATTATGATGTATGCAAAGGAATTATTGTGAAAATTTATTAGATCGTCCAGACTCGACGACTTCACAAGAATAATGCGTATAGGATGTCTGAAAAAATACCGTTCTAATTAAAATTCGTAAATTCAGAATAATTAATAATAAATAATTATATCAAGTTTATCTTGCATTAAATGAATTACAAACAGAATTCAGAGAATTAAAAAAAATCCGCGATAAAAATGCAATTATTTTTCAATATTTATCAGCAGGTTTCATTGAAAACATTTATTAATATATCTTTTCTCAGTACATCCTATGCGTTGTAACGCTGCACCAATCCCAAAAGATCCCAAAAGATTTGCAATAATCTTTCAGAGCAATACGGACGAGTATCTACCTTATTACTGCCGAAGATCCCGAAAAGGCCGACCCTCTTTTTGATCTTGCCACCGGAGACGGTGCCCTTGACCGTGAGGTGATTGTGGATCGGCTGCATGACCGGCTGGGCCAGTTGACTGTTGCTATCGTAGTTCTTGGCGACTGATAGATCTTCAAAGGGAAAGTCTCCAGGTGGCTGGAAACCACTCTTGTAACGTTCTATTACCAACATCGTGTCCTCCTTCTCGTTGATCTCGTTCGCCGCCTTCTCAATGCCATCCAGGCACTGAGCAATTATCGGCGCCACTGCCCGCTCGATCTCTACCGATTTCATCATGTAATTCCGCATGTTCTTTATCCTTTTCTCGTCCAGCTCCTGCGGCAAAAGCGTGACGTATAAGAGAGAATTACCCATGAGAAAAAGTAATTTGAACATTGAATTGAGTGAGATAACATTGTAATAATTTCCAATTAGGAAATTAATAGATACTACTAATTTATTAAATTAATATCGATACATTTGCAAGTACACAACTAAGCAGACAAATTAAAAAATTTTTTAGCTATTTTTAAAAATTTAATTAAAAGTTAGAATTTTGCGATTAATCAGTGCGAAATTTAATCCATGATTGTTCAAGTTTGACAAATATGTAATCATTTCAAATCTTCTTTTTATCACATTAAACAGTTCTTTGAATCTTTATATGACGACAAAAGGGAGAATACCTTTCCAAATATTACATAAGAATTACGGAAAATATAAAAAATATAATAAAACGGACATAATAAAACGTGGACACAATCGTGCACAGTTATAACAAAGTACCTGAAGATGTTGAAACACTTCCGGCATCGCTGTGTGGTAGTGTAACGTCTGCATGTCATTCGTTTTTTGCAGCTGATTCGCGTACTCCGTTTTGGCTTCCTCGCTCTGCTGGGTCTTCATCGTCATATTCATCCTCTGCTTCTCGACCTGCTCGTTGCAAAAAAAGAGATTGGTCATCATCGAGCGTCAACAATTTTCATCAATCGTTCATAATTTAAAGGCACAATTTCTTCGCACGTTCTATCTATCCGTGGAAAAAACACAACTTGAGATTCTATCTATGTTCCGTTGAAATGATACTATACTGACGTTTCTTCCCACTTATTGTATACATGTTGGACCACTTTCAGAAACGAAGAGAAATACGCCAGCGAGACCTAGTCAGGTTTATCAAACGATAGGAGTTTTTTTTTTATCACGTACCTCTGCTCTCGAGAGATTGAGATCCGCGTCCGCTCGCTGATAGTTCTCCACGGCGCGCTCCGCTTCGCGGAAGGCCTTCTCATAAGCCTTCCTGGCACGCTCCAGATTGCCGATCTGGCCGGCTAGGGTGGCCATCAGCCGCGCACCCTCCTGCAGATGCTTCTTGCGATCCTCTTTGAAATCCTTAACCAGGATATTGAGTTCCCGCAGAACGTTCGCCTGAAGATTCTCCGCGATCACCTCCCGCTGACCGGCCTGGTCGTTCACTTCGTTCAGCTCCATTTTAAACGCCCGACAGGGACTATACCTGAGAAACACAAACTTCGTTCTTCTCTTTGTTCTTTTGCTCTATGTTTACTTTATTCATTTTCTACCTTCTCTTTTCGTGAGATTTATTTTCGTCTGATTAAAATCTTTTAAATCTTTACTTTTTACTTTCCTAATATTTTCAAGTCCGCCTTTTATTTTCTACTCCCTTAATTTTTCCTTAAAGTTTTCGTTTAATACTTTGCTCTGTCATTTTTTGATTAGTAAATTTCTAGTTTTTCTTGTCGAGAAATCTTAATGACCTATTTAAACAATTTTAAACAATTTGGATTGTGTACGCAAACTCTTGCCTTAGTTATAGATAAGATGTCTTACTTGTAGATAACGTTAGCTAATTTAACATAAATGTTTTTTTTTTTTTAATTATATAGTGTAATCGTTACGTACATGACAAGAATAATTTCTGATCTACACAACGCCAACGCAGGCTGATTTCACAGAATGAGAGGAGCTTAAATCTCGGCCCACGCCGATTAGTATGACACACTCTTTATACTACTTCATAAAAAACCGACCGGGAGAGCGGAAATTTGTTTTGCGGAATTAAACTTATAAGGCATCTCGCCTATATTGCGAAGTATAATCTCTCTGTAAAATTAACACTTTATTAAAAAGATTTTGATATATAATATAAAATTCTGGCTCTTCTCTAACGAGTTTCAGAGTTCCTGATTACGTTTCGAAAAGAGGTTTGATGATTAAGTGCAAAAAATAGAAATCTAAAGATGTAAGGTGCTAATATCACGTTTTCATTGCACAAAAATTGATTAACTTTCGAATTTCGATCAGGATTCATTTCTAGGTCGCGAGATAAACAGACTCTGCTCACGTTTCTTTTTCGTTAGAGTTTTGCAAAACGTGTTTGCGTTGACGTTTTGCTAGTTTGCGGATATCGAACGAAAGAGTTTCGCGCGAGAACGAAAAACGGGAGCGAGCCGTTGCCGGAGAAATTCTGTTGAAGCAAAATTCACTTCGCTTTAACTCTGACTTTGTTTTAACTCCCGTTTTATTTTAACCCTGACCTAACCACGCTCCTATGCGCGCTTAATTACTCGCGCGGTGCGCATTCTGTGCGTCGAGTCAGAAAATTAATTATGCCTCCGTGAAAGAACCCGGAACTTATAAAGATCGGTAGAAGTTTCCTACGCAGAGGAAATATTTTCCATATACCTTTCGTAAAAAAAAAAAAAAAATTATGGGGTGGGGTGGCGTGGCTCTATGGCTTCGTGAGTAATTGTTAACTTAAAGGTCCGTGGTTCGATTCCCCGGCCCGGTCTTCACCCCACATATACCTCTTTTAAAAGTTATATCAAGAGACACGGCATTTATGCGAACGCACGAGTTGCGAGTACCCATTATTTCAAAATTTCATGTTCTCCAACTCTCCCAAGGTTCCCGACTCGAGCAGTGTTGCGCGCTGTGATTTTTCGTCGATTAAATTGTTCTCGAAATTAAATTGTTCTCGTGAGGTTTTTAGTGGGTAGGCTACGGTGAGTGCAGGGTTTATTGCCCGGTTCCCGTAGAATCCCACACTCCCCTCGTTCCTCTCTTCCTTCAGGAGGGCGAGAGGGTCACACCTCAGGAATCAGAGGCATTGATTGCAGAGCTGTGACTCAGCAATTCTCCCAAGCTCCCCAAGCTTGACGACCAATTTCAAATTTACGTTATATATATCTCCATTAGGAGAATCCTTAAAAAATACGATCCAATCATTGAAAGATCCGCCGAAAGATAGCCCAGTTTCTCCGCACGAGCCCCACTCGTGCGGGGGGTGCAGTTTGGAATATAAAAATTCCTGTGATCAGGTGGACTCGAACCCGGTTCTCGGGATTACGAGCCTGGCGCTTTACCACAAGACCACACTGCCACCCTACCTTTCGCTTTAGTAAATCCTGGTTATATGTTCAGAAATACGACGAAAGTTCAACGTTCATTGCACAGAATAAATATATATATATATATATATATATATATATTTTTTTTTTTTAATTACGGAATTACGGATTAATATATATATATATTTTTTAATTACGGAATATAATTTTTATATCGTAAGAGGCGTAAAATATGTACCCATGCTAATTAACAATATTTCGCTCTCAGAAAATTACTATAATTCCATTCATCATGGTGTAATTATCTACTTCCCTCGATTGGCCACAGTGGTGTAATCCATCTCGACCGCGGCGGACAATTTAAATATGTATTTATTGCTCTTTGATGTTTTGTACACATATACGGATACAACAAATTATCTGAGATCGCCGGTAACTCGAGAAGAGAGAGTACGCGCGCATGTAGCTTTATACTTACTGATAATCCTCCTCCTCCTTCTTCTTCGGTTGATAACTCTTCACGAGACGCCTGCAACAGAGACGGGAGAAATAAGATTATTATTGATGCACGCTTCTCACGAAGGTGAAATGACATCGCCGGAAAACGTTAGGCGAATAACAGAAACTATTAGATTACCCGGAAGTAAACTGCTCAGAGAAATGATCTCTGTGTTATCTCTGGGTTTTTCTCATTTACAGTTTTTTTTTTTTTAATCTAGAGAAAGTTGAAACATATATTATAATTTTTAATACCGTCTGACGAATTAATTTCTTCAGATGAATAAAAGATAAAATCAAACTTTACATATTTTTAATATCATTTTACTTTATCTACAAATTCTACTAAAAGTTAGATTTGTATTATGTAGAGTAATCTGATAAATACAAAGAGATATCATAATTAAATCATATAGTTCTAAAATCATACATGCGAATATTCATTCATCAGCGAACAAAAATAATAACTTCTTTAACGCTCGCTATGGCCAGATTTGAAAAATCTTTGCCGTAGAAAATGCTACATTTTTAATATTTGTATTCAATGTAGTGCACGTTACAATTATGCATACGTAAAATGTATTAAAGAGACTTGCTGTATTCTGTATTCTAAATAATAATTCTACACACATGTGACGCGAACGTGTTAAACAACGATGCAATTATAATAATATTTCAATAGCAATATACAAGAATACGCTTCAAAGAATTGCAACATCTCGCAATTTCCACACGCTCGCTTCCTTTTACGTGAAAAGCCGCTGGGAATTTACTGCAATGCGCACGCGGTCATTCCGGCCAGTCGAGGTGCATCGAGGGGTCAAATCGCGGATTGTGCCGCCGCGCGGTGATCGAAGAAATATCAGATCGCGAGTGCGCGGAATTATTTTCGGTCGCGGCGCAGATTAAAACGGATCTGGGCGTGCCGTTTTAATTTTTACGGTGCGCCACGTCGGTCTATAAATACACTATCAAGCTGAATCTCATGCGCTCTTGATACAGCGGAGCAACGCGAAAAGGGGAGGGGAAAAAAAGAGGATGAACGAAAGAGAGGAAGAAAACAGCGGAAAGTCGCTTGTATCAGGATAATTCCTGGGCAATAAAATATTTTGGAATTTTCCAAGAATCATCCAAATACACGGATCCTCTTCTCGGCATTTCCCCGAATATTCGGATCCTGTTACGTCGGATACTCCGGATGATCCAACAGTTACTTGACGATCGCGTAATTTTTTGGCGTGTTACACGGAGTCGAGGCAATTTTCCCAGAATCGTCCCAGAATACGCGTGCAATGACCGCCGCGATTTTGCACGAAAGTGAATCGAGGGTCGGGCTAGACGCTGGAAATTGCAGCGCATCCAAGACGAAGGACGCGGCGATGATTCGTAATGCAGCGGGCAAGAGCGGCGAACCGTGCGCGGCGAAGCGCGTGAAATCATTTCTCGCAGTGTTGCACGCTCGGCGCTAATTAATGCCTTCGTTTTATCAAAATCGATTTTCACGGACATAATGCCCCGTACATTTTCTCATTAGACATGCAAATTTAATTGCAAATTCATGCAATTTACGATTAGTATATAACCATTCGATTGTACAACGATAATTGTACTTACACTGAAGTAATTATCACTATAATTAATTATTAAATGAAAGTTATTAAATAAAACATATGAAAGATCACGCCTCGGAGTCACGCAACGGCAACGGAATAAACGTTTTCAAATAATGTTTGATTACTGAAAGAGCGCGTGAGTTATTATTATACTCCTAAACGTCTAAGTCGCGCCCAAAAACAAAGAGTGATAAACATATCTGCGTCCCAATAAGTCTATATAGAATTTCATTCCGACTATAACTTTCGTGGATTATACCAAAAGGCAGACTGTGCAATTAATTACGGCTAATGTTGCGCGTGGCGCGCGACAAACATTTCTCGAAGTGTGCGACGAAGTAATTAAGCGTAATGCAAAACGGAGTAATTAAACGGCCGAAGCGGTTAGATTTCGAGACACCCGATAGAACAAAAGTATACGCTACAGTGGACGGCATTCACAGAACGGACAAGGGATTCCTTCAACACTGTGTTAGTCGCTACAGATCTCGCCTCGTCCCTGAACCCACGGGGTGCGTGAGACACGCTCGTTATACAGAATGTCCCATTGAAATCATTTCGCCTCGGATGTCTCACCCTTTGTCGGGGCACTTAAAAAAAAAAGAGGAAAGAAGTATCATGTACGTCGACTTGCACGACAGGGTTTGGCAAGGTGCAAGGTGTACGACAGCGCCGAGGGGCCCTGCGCACCTGCCATCGATCCCCTCGATCCCCTCTTTCTTCTCTGTCACTTTAAATTATTTTCAAAACCAGTAAAAAATGTTCCTTTGCTAATTTTCCTTTTAACTTTGCTTGCATCTTTGTGTTCCTTTGTCTTTAAGAAATTGGTTTAAAAAGAAAGAAAAATAAAAATAACCAACTATAAATAAATTACTGATAAATAAAAAACGTTGAGATAAATTTAAAATTTGTTCTTGTAATTTTTTGTGAGAAACTACTGATACAGAATATGTCCTGAATTAGTCGCGTAATAAATTGAAATGCAAACTTGAGCAAAAGTTTGGAAAATATTTTAATCGTAAAAAATTATAATTGTTTTTTAAATATTAAAATATCTCTATAAATGACAAATAAAAATATCCGTATTAAATACGCAGAAACAGGTGCCTTGAAAGTGTCTGAGTATCTTTTACATCCATTTCTCTCTTAATTATCCGTATAGACCGTATATACCTCTTAATTTAATCTTAGGAAGAAAATGTTATGTCTCTCACCTGAGTTTCGCTGCGTATTCGAATTCGATCGCGCAACGATCGCGTATGAAGTGGCCATACCTCTCGAGAAACTCTATCCCTTTTTGCGTGTGCAGGGACAGATTCTCGAACTGGTCCTGAAAACACAGACAGAGAAAATTATAGAAAAAAAACAGTATTTAATTGTATACAATATTTAAAGATAAGAGACTTGCTTAGAAAAGAATATTGAATAGTCGATTTAAAGACCATTGACAAAATGAGATTTATCATATTCTGTATTTATGCTTTTATGATTCAAAGGGACGAATGGTCATTTGAGTAAACATATGCAAAGAGATCTTAATCGAGATTTATTCTTAAGAAAAAACCTTTGCCTTTTATTTTTTTTTATTTTTTTTTCTTCGATTTCTTGGAACACGTTTGTCTAAATTGTCGATTTCGCCGCCAAGAGAGTGAAGACTTTTCTCCGTCGGACGAACAATCCGACCGTATCTATCGCGGTCGACGACTGAGAAAAACCTCTTGGCACACATACGCCCCTCGTTTCCTCCTCCTCCACCTCCAACCTCTTCCATCACCACCGCGGGACAATGAGGAATTTCGCAAGCAAACGTGCGCGGAAAGATTTCTGAACGTCGTTTAGCGGCTCGGCACGAAAAGTGAAACTGGACGTATTAACATTCAGTTGTCCAAAGTGAGGTACACAAACGAAGTTAGTGCGCGCATTCGCAACTTTGATGACATATTACAGTTAGCATCGTGCAAACTAATTCTCTGTATATTCGCGGGATAATGATTATTCGCCTTACGTGTTTGTAAACCAAACCCGCAATTTTCCCCACCACCGACACTCAATCTTTGCACATCTTGTCAGTGATGAGATAATAAGTTTATTTCCTTGATCTCGTTGTTGCATTAAACTCTTCAATTACGGGACAGAATTGACATTGTAAGTTCAATGACGCTACCGAGTTCGTTTTCTCCTTATTATAAAAAAAAAGTTTTCTTCCCATGAGAGAGATAACTTGGAAAGTTGGGTAATCAAATGAAACACGATACTGATCGAGATGTCTTCGTCTCGGGGTTTCTCACTCACTACTATTTAAAGGGGAATGCGAGCTTTATCGTTCAAGGACGATCCTATCTTTCGACATTTATGCCACGGCTTAAGGACAAATCGGGTCGCCGTTGCAGCGTGGCAGAAAAAGAGACAGAGAGAGAGAGAGAGAGAAAGAGAGACGAAAGATCCACGGTCCACGCTGGCTGGCATTCGAAACGTGTGTTACTTTCATTTCCAACCGAGCGGCCATTCAAGGGCCACGCGACTTCTTACGTGCCATACGTGGTGCGCGCGTCCTTCTCAGTCTTCTTTTGCTGATGTGTCTCACCTTGCCACGTTACAGCGCGAACAAAAAAAATGAGGGACCAGATCTCGACCGGAACACCGAAGTCACGTGTGCGCGATTTGCGGTCCGGTTAGCCGGCCGAACGGCGCGGAATGAAAGAAGGAAGTCGCGCAAGATTTTTCTTCACTCGACCGTGAATAACTTAATAAGTAAGATTAACTCTCTCTCTCAAGTGAGAGAATAAAATCTTTAATCTATCCTGACTGCGTTCTATAAACGCTCGAGAGCAATTAAACCCAGTCGGAAGAAATTTTTAAGCGTTTTACCGTTTTCCTTGCTTCTTAATTTAAAAGCCGCGTAGAAATATCGAATTCCTCAGCTGGAGTCCTTGATTTCGTAGTCTTTGAATTGATAAACACTTGTGTTATAAATCATGCATAGCATTAGCTTTATCAAGATTCTACAACCAAATCTATATTTCCCAAAGAAATCCTCTGATCCACAAACTTTAATTTCTTAATTACCAGTTTATTTGCCACCTTCTTACGCCGATTTTATCACTCTTTATGGATCCCCCTCGCGCGAAAAATGTACAGAAATAATACAATCGTAACGCTACCAATCGAAACGATGACGTTCTAAGTCTGAAAATAAAGCAAGCGCGTTTGCTTCTGCAGAAAACAAAAATGGAGCGAGATCGAATTGGGCGATTCCACGGAACAAGTGTTGAACTGTAAATTCAATTCGCGATTTCCACGGTGATTTTCTTACATTCGTTCAAGGTTTACCGGCTTGCGCGCGGCGAACTCCGAGTCGCACACTCCGAGTTGCAATCGCGCACGGACGAAGTCACTCGTGCGTCTCTACGTCTCGGATCGGAACAACTTTCTCATTGTGATAACTGTATAACGCGGCTCTCGTGGCTCGGCAAGTAATTTGCAATGAAATAACGGAGAACTGGTAGCGCAGGTGATAGTCCGCGTATGCCGCGCGGCTTTCGAACACACACGCGCGTGTGGAACGGCGGCGCAGCGTGCGTGGAACGACCGGCGCGGCGGTGACGGGCAATCGCCGGTTGATCGGCCGTCGTTCTTTTCTATCCACGCGAGATACCCGGTCCGGTAGGTATCTCGACGCCTGATTATTAGATTCCGTTTTTCCTTCGCCGCCGGATATCGCGAACGCCGATAACGCCGCTAGGATTGCGAAGCACGATCGCGTATCGCATATTTTAGGTACTGCAAACTTGGGGCCTATTCAGCGAATTTGTACACAGCCTGAGTCACACTGGAAACAGAACGTACTCCCGCGATGTTTACAGATATGAAAAAAAAAAACACGATTTTTCCTCGATAGTGCTAAATACTTTGAGTATGTATGTTATTATTTAATATAAATTAAATAAAAAATATTTTTATCCTGAAGGTTTCTGTTTGATTTTAGATTACCAAACTCGAAACTCAAATTTCAAAACAATGAATTTATTTTGATGTCAATGTAATATACAAAAATAGAAAGGCATATGTTCCATATACATATACGACGTTTCATTAAAAGAGACGTTAATAAATTTGATAACTCTGGAAAAATAATTTTGAAGAAATTATTGTATATATTCATCATGCTCGTCTTCGGAAACTTTCAAATTGTCTTCCACATATTGTTTTCGCATCTTTAAATCTACGAAATATTTAAACGTTCTATTTTCTGCTGTGATATATTTGAGAGTGAAGAGTTTAATACCTATTTATTAAAAATAATGCAACACAATTTTTAACGCGTCGCATTCAAATGTATCATAATTAAAATATACTAAATATTCGTAGTATACATGTAAGTATGCTTGCAAACTGATTATTTCTCTATAACATATCTCATTTGGTATACTTTAAAGATTAGCACGATTAAAAAGTAAAGAGATTACTTTCGCATTGAAATTTGAGACCATCCGTATTATGGCTATTTCAACCCTTGATATAAAAAGAATCGATGTTTGGATAGTATCAAGCGCGTGTGTGCCCCAAAGTATATCAATAACGCTCGTAATTCAACGGATGACGTCACCGTCGCTTATGGGCTGAATCGATCATACGATTTGATGGAGAAACAAATTAAATTATATTCCATTATGCCGAATCGGCCTTCTCCCTCCTCCTCCACCCTCGCGCAGGGTGAGTGCTAACCAATCCTGCGTTTCGTCCGCAGGTCGATACACGGGAAAACGCATCGACAAGCTATGACTCATCGCGGTGCGAGCTTCTCCAAAAAGGTGCGCTTGCAAGGAAACGAAAGGCTCGACTGGCTCGAGTGATCAATCTCAGAATCGAGTTATCGCAATGGTGATAAAATTCAAAACAAAATCAATTCTCAAAAAATATTACTGTAATAACCCTCTCTTTACTTTTCTCAATTTTCTTTTTTCTGTGAGTGATACGTCGCAATGCGCAAATATACGAAAATCGAGACGTAAGCCAAGAAGATAAAAATTTCAAAGCGATGAAAGAATTCAAGAAAAACCGACCACATAGATTACATCGTGTTATAAAAATTTCAAATATGCTAAAATAAATAAAAAATATATTTGTTTATTTATTTATAAAGACAGAGAGAGAGAAAGATAGAGAGAAACTTCAGTTTTTGAGCCTAATAATCCCAAGCATGCTTGAAAAAATTCATACTCTTCGGAGTGGAAGAGTGCTTCCGTTATTTTCCTACTCTTCTTCCTTCCCTAGATTCTGGTACAGCTCGCGTCTGCAGCAGCAAGCTGTAGAGGGAGATACGACGGAACAGGGAACATTTATATGAAGGCGATCAATAAGAAAAGCGTGCCTTCTGAAGTCAGAGCGAATAAAAATGTACATCATAAAAATAGTTCGAAAACTATAAGAGTCACACAAGGCGAACCTACCATGGGTTCGAACAAGTGTGTATTATGAGTCACGGAACAGTACCGGGGGTAGCTCCCACACCCTCCACCCTATTGATCCCACATTTCTGTATACTCATGCAACTCAAGAGGGACGAATGAGAAAATAAAGTACGAGCAAGACAGACACAACAGTTAGGAAAACCAAGTGGGGAAAGGGATACACCATGGGGCAAAGTAGCGGAAATAAGAAGTAATATTGCGGAAGAATGATGTGTAGCGCTTGCAAAGAGTATTTGAAATCTATATATATATATATATAACGTCCTTCTTTAATAAAAAAAACCCTAGACTTTAATTTGTTCAACTATTTAATTTTTAAATAAGAAAATTAGACTTGAAGCGTATCAATTAATCGTTTTTCTCACAGAAGTGTGATTAATATTGAAAAAATTTTCTCTGTAAATTTTGCTGATATCTCTAGTTACATAAGATTAAATCTTCTACTCGATTTTTATTTCTATTCCGTTTGTCTGTTACCGCGTTTTATCTTTGTATGTCACAAGACAAGACAGATGTCAAATTATCGACTTTTAAGAGGTTTTATGAAAAACATCAAATGTTTCTATAAAGTTATGTTCTTGTTTTTTTCCCCCCAATAAAGTGCTACTAGATATCCGATGCGTCGTTAAAAAACATTTTAGTAAATACTGCGACCTAATTTTTTGTAATTTTGTGGTATAAAAGAGTTGAGATCGCGCGCGTAAAATCGATTTTAAATATTTATAAAACAACTTTATAGACAAAATATAAAATATTTTTGTTTAACAAAAAAATTTTCTGCACAAAAATTTCTCCTTTTATCATTTTTATTCCAGCACATATTATTCAATTTTATTTTTATTTTAATTCAAAATATTAT